AAATCTTGGTCTGGATCCGGAATTTAGTGGAACCAACTGTCATCTGAATCAAGGGGAATGACTGGGTCTGAAGGACGTGTTTGTGTTATTGACCTCTAACGTGATGGAAACTGATTTGTAATTCAAAATTTTTAAAAATTAGGATAGCATTCACTTTTAAAGTTTCTAAGTATTCCCTAAATGATAATTTAGGATATAGCAAGCTACACTAACATAAGATAAAAATTATTAATATTAAAAATGAAAACAATACTAGCCTATCCAACTCTCAATCTGTAAGGTTTTGTTTTTTTTCAATAGGTGTCTTTAAAACAGTTCTCCTAAGAGGGTTTAAGAAATCCTTATTAAGAATATGCAATGCATGTACTCCAGAAGGTTGGAATAAACAGCATCCCAAGAGTCAAAGGTTGTCCTTTACCTTGGACTCCCCGCCTCCGAGGACATTCACCATGACCTCCATCACTGTCTCGTGCATCCCCAGGGCCCTCATGAGATTTGGATGCTGGTAAAACACTTTGTTATTCATGATATCCCTAGAAAGAACAGCACAGGGGTGGAGGGAAGTACAGGCGTCAAAGCAAAATGTAAATAAAAATTTATCTGAGATCCTGATCAATCTTTTGGAAATAATGCCTGGCAATCATGGTTAAACCACAAAAATTAATAACTACAATTAATTGAGTTTTCTTCAAAAATTCTGATAACCTCCCAAAATAGTATACGAGTTTATTCTTTTCAATTATAAGAAATGCACTAAAAATGCAAACATTCATGAATGTGAAATAGAGTTTTGGACATCTATCATTCCTAATTTAATGTATATCCAAACGTGTTCAACCTTCTCTTGTATAGAAATATGAATCAGTGTTACACCATGTTTATAGGAAAATTTCTGTATAAATTACTGATAGGTAAGTATATCTGCATTTCATATATGCTATTTTAGTACTGAGTTCAATATTTGTTTAATAACAGTAACATTATTTCTTGTTACATCCTGTTATCCTGAAATGCTTTTAAAGGCTACATATTCTCTCAGAGAAACTGAAGACACATGAAGTCCAGGTACAAGCAATCTAACTCATCAAAATGAGCATTTCAATTGAAAGAAACCACAGCGGAGGGTACCTAAAATGTTTCTTCTCATTAGTATTGCATTATATAATATTACAAGATGTGTAGAAAGGTATTCCTAAAGATGTTAATGTTTCGTAGTCATTCTATTAATAAATGAAGAGTTCTGTTAATTTTTCTTTTAACATAAATCAAATTGATGCAAGAGTTTTTTGTTTTGGTTTTTGTTTTGTTTTGTTTTTTCTATAGAACACTTTCCTGTCAGAGTTACAGCAAAAAAATAATGTACAGATGGTAAGAAATCAGAAACTTTGCCTTCGAATCTGATTTCCATAATTGAGTCTCTCATCCATTCATTTAGTCACATGCTAACTTTCAGTTACTGTGGATATATCAAAAAAGTGGAATAGTAGTATTCTTCTATGATTCTTCTCTTTTTTTTCCACTTTTAGTTGTGTTTTTTGGTTTATTTTTTAAATAAAGAGAGCTCTTAGATAGCACAACTCAGAACACTGACTGGGGCCCTAATACAGGTCTGATCTGTTGCATTGAAGAAGAAATAAGGTAAAAAGCCATCCATTTCCTTCACGTTGAGAGCAGCCCATTCAGCAAGAGAGCCTCGGCTTTCAAATCAGATACAATCACAGGACTTGTTCTCTTGTCAATTCAAATCCTTTGTATGACCTAACTTTGAAAAGTACTTGAAAAATCTCATTTGACTTTGTTCTAAGTAAATTAAATGGATTTATAATTCTACCACTCAGTAGGCAGGTTGTCACTTACTAAATGTGTCTTTTTTAGGAATATTTCTAATTTCACAAAAATACATTTTACTTGTTTCATAATCATTTTGAGTTTTATCACTACTGAGTGATTTATATGTTAACAACACATTTTACAGTTCTATGTTCATTTGAGAAAGAAGGTGCTTTCCATTTCCTTGAATCCGTCCTTTTTCATTGGTCAATTAAGATCACTTACTATGAGAGGCTTCCTAGGGTTCAATTTCAGTATTAGCATTCAAAAAAGACTCATGCTCATATAATTATAAATAAAGGCCATAAAATTGCCTTTTGTCATTCCGGCTTTTCTGTACTTCCTCTCTGTCCAGTTAGTGTATTTATTTTTTGTGTACATCCATTATAACAATTTTGGAAATTAACGTTCTAGTTTACTTTTGTGATTTCAAATACTTAATAGGCTCATGAATAATATATAGCATTGCTTTATGAATTTAAAATGTACATAAATGATACCATGCAATCTGAATATTTCCATACATTTTTCCCCTCACACTTAATTTTTTTAGTTTGCCAAAGAAAAAACTCTTTATTCTGTATTTCATTAGTTCTGGGTTTTTTTCCAAAGAACCAACTTTGAGTTTCTTTAATCCTTTTTACTGTTTCTTTGCTATTTTATCCATATCAGTAGTCATCATCATCTCTTCTTTTATCTGATATTTATATAACTAGATTAGCTTCTTTATTTTATTTTATTTTATTTTGGTTGACTATCTGTCTTCTACATCACTTTTCAATATCCTACTTTCCAGATTTCTACATCCTTATGTTTAGGTATTTTTTCTTGTGGACATCATAGAGCTTAATTTAAGCTTTTATTTTTCTCTGGTATATGAATTCCCTCTTGTTTTCATATCACCAAGTTATGCAAGCTTGTTAATGATTGCTTAGAGTTGTGCATATACACACCAGTAATATACTCACTAAAACTATTGCCTCCCATTCCTTCTCTCTGAATTCCTTTTTTTTTTCTTGAATATACAGCCTTTAGGTCTTTCAATGAGGGGCTATAGGTAAATATTCACATATGTCTTTGTTTTGCCCTCAATATAGGTTACAAATTCTAAACTCCAAATCCACACAAAGCAAAAGCTCATTGCACTAAATTCTCAGTTGGGTTACATATTCTAAATTAATGGTTATTTTCTGTCACAACTTTAAATGGAGTATTCCATTGAATTATGCTCTCTAGTTCTGCTATTGAGAATTCTAAGTATAGTTTCTTAGCCAGTACTCTGGCTTTTCTCTGTATATTCTTCTAAAACAGCCTATTCATCACTGGTTTTATGCAGTGATAAATTCACTACATTTATCCATCTGTGGGTGTGGAACTATTGGTGCCTCATTAATCTGTGAATTCATGCTTTTCATCAATTCTGAAAAACTCAAGCCAAGAGCTCTTCAAATATTCCCATTCTCTAGTTCATCTAGTCTGTTTTTTCTAGAAATCCTATTCAGCATATACTGGACCTTCTTGTACTATCCCCTAGGTCTCTTAACTTCTCTTTTGTCTTTCCTTATCACTCAGTGCTGCATTACTAATTTCCTCAGATCTATGATAGCATTTGTTAATTTTCTCTTCAGCTGGATCTTATCTGTAATTTAAATCATTGTTTTAATGTCAATTATATTTTTCATTTCTAGAAGTTCTATTTGGATCTTTTTCAAATCTTTCGGACTCTTTGCATATCTTATATTTGGGGATTTGATTTATCCCTTTGTGTACAGTAACTTTATGTTCTCTTTCTGGCATCTATTATCTAAAGTTCTTGGGGGAGGTGTTCTTAACTCCACTATTTATTGTATCTGCAGATTCTTATTTATAGTGAATTGTTTCCTGCTTTGTCATTTTTTTATTGTGGGCTAATCTTTGGTAATATTTATATGTTTCTAGCAAAATTTCACAGTAATTTGAGCTGAGAAAGCATACCTCCAGGCCATTTTTTATGTTATTTTCTCAGCTTGGGGATCCTTAGCCTATGCATGAGCTAAATGTTAACCTTCAAATCCACGTGAAGAACAACTTACAATGCTAAATTCTTAGAAGAGTTTTTTCCCCATTGTGTTTTCAAGGGCAGGTAGATACAAACTTCCTTATTATCTCCTGCTGGTGAATGTTCATCCCCCATGAATTTTAGTGAATTTTTATTAATCTATATGTTTACATATGATTACACATATCTGAGAAATTAATAAAAAAAAACCTCAAGATATTTGTTGTGTATCACAACCATCTTAGCATCTAGGTGTAAAATTAGTTAATATGTTTATTGAACAACTTTCTTATTTAGCTTTAAACTTAATCTCTAGAAAAACAACAACCTAATTTAAGAATCATATAATCTAGTCCAGGGGTCAGCAAACTGTGGCTCACAAGCCACAGGCTCTGAAGTAAAACTGAAGATAAAAGTAAAACTATCGTAGTTTCATTTATAAAAATTTTAAGGGATACTATTCACATAATGGTGATTATGTAAAAATATATTTATGGCTCTTGAGTAATTTTTAAATTGTTGTGAGGGACAAGATAGGATTGGCTCTCCCAGGGGTCGGCAAACTTTTGAGACGGAACGTACCCAAAGGGCCGCATGTGGCTCGCGAGCCGCAGTTTGCCGGCCCGTGAACTAGATGATAGATTTGCATTAATGTGCTTCCTGTGCTAGTATTGAGATAAACAGTTAGAAAACAAATACATATGACAGAAGGTGGTCATAATTACATAATTTACCCTAATCCACGAATCATAAGCTTCTCTTCCTCTTTGCCCATCCTCACACTCAGCAGAGAACGAATCTGACCCAGAGATGCCAGCAGATTGATGGTGTCCTCCACAGAAACGCTGTTTATAGTGTAGGTCTTCGGCAGAGCCCGAACCAGACCCCCAATGCCATCATACTGTCGATGGAGCAACACAAACATGGCCCTCACCAACTCAGGGTCTTCGATGACAGACTCTTGAGCCCATCGAACCATCGTGTCAGAAATCAGCTGCTGAAGAGTGGCTGCAGGTCATTATTGGCATTTTTTTTGAAAAGGAAAAATATTAAGAGAAGACAAATTAGTTGGGCATTTCAACTGCTTATTTCATAACGCCACACTCATATCTACATTCGTCCCAGAATTTTTAGGAATAGTCTTTGAAGGAAATAAACTTCATTTAAACATATGTATGTATATCAATAAAGATGGGTTATGGACATGCAAGAATGAAAATCCACAAACTTCTCTTTAAGAACCATTCTTATAATTAAACGATTTTAGTTGTTTCAAAATTGCAGCCATTTTTTTCAAAACTACTACAGACAATGCATGCGGCAATCATTATGAGTGGCACTATTACTTTATTTTCTTCCTTCCATTACTTTCCTCCCAGAGCTCCTATCATATACCGTATTTCCCCGTGTATAAGATGCACCCTTTTTCAAAAAATTTGGGGTCTAAAAAATGGGTGCGTCTTATACAGTGGTTGTATGAGCACAAAAACAAAAGCGAAAAAAGCGGGAAATGCAAGTAAAAAAAACCTACAACCACTGTATAAGACGCACCCAGTATTCAAACCCCAAATTTTTCGAAAAAGGGTGCGTCTTATATAAGGGGGAATATGGTATCCTTGTAAAGGTCAGTCACAATCATCCAAGGAGCTATCTATTTACCCAATTGACTCTTCATCTGAGTTATAGTAACCTCATATAATTATATTTCTACTTTAATCTGGGTCCCCAATTGCCACTTAAAACATCTTCAAAATGATTTGATTATAAAGCTGTATTAAAGTGAAAAATCTTTCGGTATATAGATTATTTGCTATGTGATGTACAATGTAATACACTTAAAAACAATAGAAATTCCAAGCCTCTTAAAACAAATCCTGCAATTATCAAAGCTAAGTAGGGTTGATGTGATCAACTCATACATAATGAAGTACTTAACTCCTATCATCAGTACTCTGGCTGATTCTGAAAAGAAGCTATTTAATCTCTTTTAATCTATACATTTAAGGAAAAAGAAAAACTACCAATTTTAACCAACTACAAAATGCAGAAAAAATGCCAATATATTTCCACATACCTCAAAACCATGCTGTCAATTTAAATAGGTCAAATTCATAAACTTCATAATAACAAAAAATGATGATAAAAAACACTGAACTCTGATTTTGAAGAGAGCCTGACTCATTTGATGCTAAAAAATAAATTTAGAAGTAATTGTATAAATAAAGGGTTTCCATTGTAAGTTAGTGGAAAAGAATTTTTTTTCTTGAGTTTATTTATTTATTTATTTATTTTATCTTTCAATAAAAGCTGTTTAATCTGAAAATGAATGCCATCTTGGGCCTGAGGTGACGTGTAAGTAGATCTCATAGACCTCCTTGTGACTCTCCTGGATGAGGGTGTTGGTCTGAGAGACTCACTGCCCATGTGCTCACTTGTTTTCACAGAGTATCAGCTGTCCCTCTTCAGTTAAATAGGATATGGATGAACCAGAAATGCATAACCCTTCAGAAAATATTTCAGAACCAAAATATAGTTACAGACAATATCTATTTAAACTTAAGAAAAGGTTTAACTAAATGCAAGAATATTTGAAAATAATTGCATGATATTTAGATAGGAAGGCTAAATGACTCCCTTTTATTTTCTCTGATCTAATGCCTAAACTTTTAGCGCCCTAGGGAGCCCATCCACCCTTATAATGCTGCTCTCTCTCTCCATCTGTTCCTACACATATAGTTTGATGCTCTCTACTTCTGGCAGCTCCAGGCATCTACTGAGAAGCTGATTCTTAGGAGTTGCAAACTCCATTTTCTCACTGGTTCATCTCTAGTAAGATAGTAGTGGGTGAATAAGTGTCAGCAGCTGAGTCACTCTGCAGTGCCCCTTCATACTGCTTACAGGACTTCTTGGCGTCACTCTCAACTGGCTTTTCAGTTTGTTTCTTCTTCAGGTATGTCACCTTTTCTACCAGGGACAGCAGACGTCCTCTAATTGTTAAGTCACTGTTTCCATCCAGAGAACCATCTTCATCCAGTTCAATTCCTAGTATGAACAAACCAAAGAGAAAGAAAAAATATATATATTTAAAAAGTACATTTAGGAGAAATAATTCTCAGGCTCTGCCACCTTTTCCATTCATAGCTTAAAGCAATGCCACCACGTCTAAAACATTTGACAACACTGAGTAAGCAAGCTTGCCCACAGGCACGCCAAGATAAGATTCATTGTTGGCCTCTTTTCCTCCTTTCTCTTCTTCCTCTGTTCCTGTGGGCTCAGGGCTATCAGCAGCCAGCATAAAATATAAACTGAGCACAGAGCAAAAGACTCTCTCAGAGTCAAGATCAATTCTGCTACTTGAGCTGATAGAGGCATCTCTCACTTTTGGGCACCATCTGCCTAGACCTATAGTTCTGCCTGCCTAAAACCTCCCTCACTTTGATGCCCCTCACTTGCCTCCAGTGGTATTTTCATGAGCTGAGACAGAGAGACTAGGCATAATTAGGTATCCAAACCAGGGGGTGCTTTATGTGTGAAGCAGTAATTCTACCAGTTTAGAGTATTCTCCATATTTATATACTATATATAATATAT